AAAAAAAAAAAAAAAAAAAAAGAAAGCCACATGTTGGGGACTTACAGGAGAGTAGAGAAAGGAGGTCCTTCTTGTCAAACCTAGACAGGCATCTTGTGTCCAGCAGGCAAAGAGCTGTTGGAGGTTTTTAAGCAGGAGGTCTGTGGCCAGAGCAGCATCGACAAAGATAGTGCCGGGACACGTAAGAGAAGGCTGGAAGAGGCTGGGGGACTTCATCTAGATGGAAGGGAGATTTTCAGGCATGGCCCTGAAGATCTGGGGGATGGGGTTGGGGGAGGAACATTTAGAAACAAGATACATGTTGAATTCTGGATTGCCAGAACCTGATGACTCTCCAGAGCTCCTACAATTAGAAAATTTTTTGTAATTTAGCTCATTCTCCCACTCAGAGGAGGGAAGAATCCCTTCCCTAGCACAACTGCAGTCCTTGGGGCCTCTGCTTAAGCACCCTCAGAAATGAGCTCCCCCTTTCATGGGACAGCCTTCTTACATGTCAGGATGACTCCAGGTTGAAATCACCCACTCCTCTCTTGGGTCCTGGCCGCCCTCTACAGCAGTAACAACTTGTCTCTCTCTTCTGTGCACTCATTTCTTTTCTCCACAACTATTTCACCAACCACCTGTTGTGTGATGGGCTCTCTACTGTGCTGGTCAAATAAGGCAAGGCCCTGCCCCCTCAGGAGCTCTCAGATGAGCCCTCCACATAGTAAAATTGGCAGTCTTCATTTTTTCTTCTCCAAACACAATAACCCTCGTTAGTTTTGTGTGAAACCTGTTGGGGGCCACGGCCACATTGTCTTCAATCCCTGGCATTCCTTGTCAGGCCTCTTGGTGGCCTCTACCACCTCTCTGAGTAGAGGGCCTCCTGCCACCAAACACTTCCTGGGTGTGTCAGGGTGGGCGTGGCCATTTGTAGCCATGGATCTTGTGACAGACTTGATGGATCTAATTAGCCCTGACTCCTGGGTGCCCTGATTTGTTTGAACTGTGTGGTTGGCAGTTCCCAAGGCATTCTCTCTTTCCAGCTGAGATAAATGACCTTGTCCATCAGATAGAGACCCTAAAACCTGGAGGGAAAGAAAGGAGTCTGTCTAAGGGCATGTGGCATGTTAGTGGCCACCTTGAGTGACCTTGAAGGCTTTTGGTATTCTTTAGTTTGTATTTATACTGTTCTTTGGAAATGTTCTTTTCTGACTTATTCATAGGATTGTTCCTTCCATCTAAATTGAACCTCCTTAGCCCGTCTCTTCAGCTGTACCCCACGTCCCATTCACCCTGCTCTGCCGCTAGCAGGGACACTGACTTAGGTTTCATTGAAGCCCATCTTGGTAGGAGAGCGAGTGACTGGTGTTTGTGCTCCCCACGGGCTATCTGGGTCTCCAGATGAACAAACAGATGGTGAATATGCCTGGGCGTATCTCCATACTTGGAGAGATTACTTAGAAGTTCTAGCAGGGAACACGTGGTAACTTGAGGAAAGTTGGGGACCTCTCCAGTTGGGAAGGCTACCTTCTTGTGCAGCTTCAGGACTAGCATATAGCACAGCAGATGGGAAGGGGAACCCTGGGCTGTCAACCTGATTAGTCAGAGAGACGGGGGTGACTCACATCTTGGGAATCTCATGAGCTGCCATGGAAACAGTACTTTTTCTCCACTTCCCCTGGGGCTGCGGGAAGAATGCTCTTAAAATCTGTACCTCCCCACCCTGTAAGCCTTCATTTCTGCTGCTTCTACTCAGCCCCTCCTCAGTGCATTTCTCCACCTGGCAGAGATCCCTGGCCCAGGTCTGCTGGCCAAGATCCTAGGCAGATGGTATAGTTCATGGTTGAACGGAGAAAAGGGAGCAACCAGAGGATTCAAAGGATGACTAAGCCAGAGATGATGTTATTGACAGAAATGGGGTGTTTGGAGGGTAGTGAGCCTGAGAGGAAGGGAGACCAAGTCTAGCAGCCAGTCCATGGGTTTCTAGCGAGTGGCAGGCAAACTGGGAGGTGGACAGAACATTCCGTATAGATCGGAAGCTTCAGGAGGGTAAATAGATTTAGGAATCTTAACTAACTGTTAAGTAATTTAGAACTCACAGGAGTTTTAAAATTTTAAGATCCTTTTCTATTTTTCCCACCTAAGAGGATGTCACCTTTCTAGAGAGCGGGTAATCAAGAATCATGGAGTCAAACAGAAGTCAGATTTAGTTAGAAAGCCCTACAGAAAGTCTCACGTCTTTACTAGAAAGATATGAAGGCTGCCCAATGATCTAAGAGTATGATTTTCTCACTTTTCCTCTTCGTAATATGAGCCTGATCTTTCTTGATCAACCAGAACCTTGGCCACCATTAGGCCTTTAGCTTCATGGTATTTGTATTACTGTGTATTATTTTAAACACAACAAAGTTCTCCTTTAATTTTAAATCTTTAGTGTTACATATCTTTACTATTTGAGTTGCATCCTAAAATTGTCTTTGTTATGATTCAAGATGTTGTTTAATGGTTAATGCAAGAAAGAAGATAGGTGTTACCCATGATGGACGTTTCAGGCTGTTGTTGGCTCTCGTGACCTCACTAATGTGTTTTTCTCCTGACAGGTTAACCTGCCCTCTTAACTCAGCGGTGGTTCTAGCATCCTATGCAGTGCAATGTAAGTCACTGAGGGAGCATTTCACAGCTGGACAAGACTATTCTGACTGATGTCTTAAGAAAGTCACTGCCCTTTCCTGTTTGACCAGGTCTCTTACCCTCTTCCCAGGAATCCTGTTGGGCAAGCTTCTCTCTGGTTGTCTGGAGAGTCCCACTGTCATCCTGACTGACACTGTCCACCCACACAGGGATGTTGGTCAAGGAGAGTGGTGAAGGGGGAAAGAGTGGATGAGCCCATACAATAGAAGTCACCTATCACACATTGTATCAACCAGACCCTCACATATTGTGTCTCATAACAAACCCCAGTGGGGCAAATATTTCTACCAGTCACCGCTTATAGACATGGAAACTAAATCCCACGGTTAAGAAATTTCTTGGAGACCACTCCTGCTACTTGCTTGGGATCTAAGGAACTTATTTTTAATTTTTTTTTTTTTAATGTCTATTCATTCTTGACAGAGACAGAGCATGAGCAGGGGAGGGGCAGAGAGAGAGGGAGACACAGAATCCGAAGCACAGAACCCAACGCAGGCCCTGAATTCACAGACTACGAGATCATGACCTGAGCCGAAGTCGGATGCTCAACCGACTGAGCCACCCAGGCGCCCCATATTTTTAGAGTTTCAGTAGAGCTAATGGGTTTTTTATTGCCCTATAGCAGCAGTGTCCAATAGAAATATAATGTGAGCCACATATGTAATTTTCAGTTTTCTAGTACCCATTATTAAAAAAGGAAAATGAAACAGATGAGTATAGTTTTAATATTTTAATTAATCCAGCATATCCCAAATACTATCATTTTAATATATAATCAATGAAAAGAATTAACAAGATATTTTACATTTTTTTAATATGGAGTCTTCAAAAACCAGTCCAGATTTTATACTTTAAGCACATCTCAATTTCAAGTGTTCAGTAACCACATGTTGCTAGTGGCTGCCACATTGGATAGAAAGTCCATATGGAATTTTCTGTCAAGGCCTGTTTAAGAATTCATTTATTCAGTGAAACTTTGTTGCGCATATATTCCACATCAGGCCCTGTGGTAGACGCGGGGTATGCATGGTGAAAAGGGGGCCTAGCCAGATGGAAGGCGAGGTATCACTTCATAGTTAGCCGTGTGGTGCCAGAGCAGTACGCTAATGTAGAGGTCAGACAGAGGCGCATGGTATGTAAGAAGGCTCCTCTACCTTTCTATAAGCCCCACAGCATCTTGGCCTATAACCCTCTTAAGCTGACTGTAGGGTAGGGAGTTAAGAGAGCAAGATGGTCAGGTCTCTGAGCAGGTGCTGGCTGAACTACTCGCTCTACTTTGGTCTCAGAGGCAAAATAGCAAGAGAAGGCTGACAGGGACTCCTGAGGTGGCCTTAAGTCTGTCCACTCCCCTGGCTGCAAGGAACAGAAATAGGAGAGGGGAAGAGCAAGGTGGCTGAGCCCACAGCTTATCTGCCCACCTGCGGGATACCAGGAAGTGGAAGACCTTTAACAATGACCCTACTCACTAGTAAGGTCAGATCCAGTCTCAGTCTCCCCAGATAGCCGGCATCTCCTTCTCCAATGGGAAACCAAGAAGAGGCTGCACAGTGACAGGCCTGGGTAGATTTGAAATTTCCCCTCTCCCTACGACACAGCTGGAACAGACCCGGCCATGTTGTATCCAGATGGGAAATGGCATGGCCACCAGTCAGCCTGTGTCCTTACTGGTCTCTAGACCTCATGGACTCCATCTCTGCCAGGCTGATCAGCTGAAGAGACCAGCTTTGCTACATCCCGGAGTGAGTTTGGTGTTCGCAGCTGGAGCTTTGAGGGGCAGGAACACTAGGAAGGACATAGTCAAACTAAATTTAGATCCTGGCTTCTCCACTTGCCACTAATGTGGTATTACCTCCCTGAATTCCCGGGGTTTTTTTTCTGTAAAACAGAGGTGATGGTGGTGATTATAACTCAAAATTGACTGTTTGAGTCAAATCATACATGTAAGGAAATGTATAACTAGAAACTTTACAGCCGGACCCTTGCTGGTAACTGAGTCAATGAGCACGTTCCTGGAGCCATGTTGCCTGGGCTTGGGCTCTTCCACTAATACATCATGACCCTGAGCCTCTCCAGGCCTTCGTGTCTTCATCTGTGAAGTGGTGGTAACTGTGTTTACTTCCTAGGGTTGTAGTGAGGATGGAATGAGTTATTATACAGAAAGCTCTCAGGATAGCGCCCGCCGCGTGGCAAGTGCTCACTTGCGCTCTGTTTTCATGTCTGCCCAGAAGAAAACTTTCTGAAGAACTGCCTTTTGTAAACAATAAACTCTATTTAGAGTAAAATTTAAGAACCAAATACGAAAATCCTATTCTAAGTCAGGTTCTCCCCTCTGCAAACAAGTGATAGAACTGGGCTAAAGGAAGTTATTAGCATCGAGAAAGCAGAAACTAGTTTCCGTGGAAATATTACCATGACTCTCATGCTTAATGAAATCATGCGTTGTCAGACAAGCAGTTTTAAGTATAAGCTCTTTATTCCTTCACTCTCAGGAAGTACATATATGTTCTTCCTGATACTTCTGTGCATGCATTTCTCTAAGATTAATTCTTGGATAGGGTACTGCTGGATGTCTAATTTTTATCTACTACATTTCACTAAATTGTCCTGGCAGGGGTGTGTCATATGAAGATAAGCCCCACTAGTGACAAGCAAACCAAAATCACATTTTCTTACTAGATAAAAAGTAATGTAGGTAAATACTGGAAAATATTTTTTTTAATGTTTATTTTTGAGAGAGAGAGACACACACACACACACACAGCATGAGTGGGGGAGGGGCAGAGAGAGAAGGAGACACAGAATCTGAAGCAGGCTCCAGAATCCCAGCTATCAGCACAGAGCCCGATGCAGGGCTTGAACTCAAGATGGACTGTGAAGACTGTGAGATCATGACCTGAGCCAAAGTCGGACGCTTAACTGACCGAGCCACCCAGGCGCCCCCAATACCTGAAAAGATTTTATAGGTTGCTGGTGGCCTCAAGTATTTAGGAGGCTCAAAGAATAAAGTTCTTAGAAATACGTATTCATTCCATAATGTCCCTTGACCTCTGTCATGTGCAGGTTCTGTACCAGTCTTAGGGTGCACAGACAGCATGGCCTCTCTCTGGAGTCCCCTGCCTGCTGGGGAGGCACAGGTGGGCCGGCTGATGGTGACAGTGAGGGTGAGCACAGAGGATGCACTCCATTCTTGCATGGGGGAGAAGGAAGCGAGTCCAGAAAAGCTTCTTAGTGATGACCCCTGAGAAGAGCCTCCAAGATTAAGCTGGTGTTGGATGAATAACATGTAAGGGGCTTGTTTATATTACATAAAGGACTTTCCCAACAGAATAGTTTGACAGCTGGAAATGCCGCACATTTGAGTGTCTGGAATATACTCTCTGTTTCCTGCACAATATAAAATTTTAGCCAGAAGAATGCATGGAACTTAAGACAATGTACTTCCCACATAAACACTCATTTCCTTATCTTCCTGCTATAATTAGCTTGTGCATGTGTTGCTTCCCCACGAATAGGAAAGTGTATTGCTCTGGAGGTTAGGGTGTGTGGTATAGTAAGTAGATGAAGGTTATGGACTGTGGTCAAAGTCTAGGCTCCAAGTTACCAGCTGAGCAGTGTGGGCAGGTCCCTTCCTTGAGTCGCCCTTCCCTTAACTGTTTCATAGGGACAAAAGCAGTGTCTGTCGCTGGGTTGTCATGAGCGCTTTGAAATCAACAGGGGAACCTCTCTGTGCTTGGCCAAGTGTTTGCAGATGACTATTTAACTTTGTTTCCCTCTAGTGGTGAGCACAAAACTTTGCACGGAGTAGCCAACTAAGATTCCAAGGGAAAACCACCCTACAGGGAGATTCCCCCTAGGCCTTTTGTTAAGTTCAGACATTTGTCAGTGACTTGACTAAAGATGACCTTGCTGTTCATGTTTGCAGAAGGGCCCAGGGGTTGGGATTTATCAGCTAAAACAGATGACCAAGTCAACGTCCAAGAGGCTCACCATGAGCAAATGAAACCAATAGAGTAAAATTTAATCGGACTCTGCCTTGAGGCTTAGGAAAATCCCTTTGCAGCATTTGGCTGCCCTCTGGGGACATAACCCCTGTCCTCAGCAAATGGCGAGCAGCAGCTTGGACCTGGCAGGCAGGCTGGTGGGAATGGTAGGAGCATAAGCTGGGGGGCATGGATCACCTGGGTTCTGGTCTTAACTGCTGGAAGTGGCTTCTGTGATATGGGAAGTCCCTTATCTCTGGATCATAGTTTCTTCTCTCTTTTTTTTTTTCTCTTTCTTTTTTTAGTTTCTTCCCTTTTAAAACGAATTTATACAAGATAATTTTAAGACTTTCTCATGCTGTCCTCATTGGGGGCTCTGTGTCAGGGCATCTAAATTATTTCCTATAAACACACGGTTCTATACTTCACAATGTACCAACTCACCTATACACCACACTTGTGCTTACATAATCCAGCCTTGACATTGCAGTCCATAGCTTAGCTGCATTTGGCTGGCCTTAACAGCCTATGGTCTACCCTTGACCAAGTCTGTGTGCATAGATCACTTGGCTTTTTAGGCCCTCTTCCCCTTCCAAAACTGGACTTTGTAGTAGCCTTTGTTTCAGTTAGTTCTGAGCACTGCGTCCCTGAGCACCTACTGGGTGCCATGCATAGGTGCTAGGCCCCAGGGATGAGTCTGCCTCACTCCCAGCCCTCAGGGAAGAGTGTAAGGAGGAAACAGATCCCTTCATTATGGTGTGGATCTCAAAGAGCAGCTCTTGGGTGTGGTGGCAGTTGAGGGTGAGCAGGGCCAAACGGACATGAAGAAATATGTGCTTGCATCTAGCCTCTCCTCTTTGTGATGAATTCCCCTAAGCAGCTCCCCGGCTCATCTCCTTCCCTCCTGAGATTGGCCATGAAGCATCACAGCAGCTTCTCCCGGTCCCCATCCTCGTGTCACAGAAGGAGCTGTTTGATTTAGAACTCTGTGTTGAGTGGGCGCTGTGCAACGCTAGCCCTCAGAAGCCGCCTAGCGTTGAAGCCAACTGTGAGAAGAATTCATTGAAACCTTTGGAAAGATCAAGGTTAATATTTTTAAGAAAAAGATGAAAGTGTCCCATTAACAAAATGAAATACTACTAGAACGCCTGGGTGGCTCAGTCGGTTAAGGGGTTCAGCGCCGGACTTCGGCTCAGGTCATGATCTCAACAGTTTGTGGGTTTGGGCCCCGCGTCGGGTGCTGTGCTAACCACTCAAAGCCTGGAGCCTGCTTCAGATTCTGGGTTTCCCTCTTTCTCTCTACCCCTCCCCTGCTCACACTCTGTCTCTGTTTCAAAAATAAATAAACACAAAATTTTTTTTCAATAAAAAAAAAGAGAGAATGAAATACTAGAGTAATTGCCCATCAGAACTAGAACTTGTTTTTCTCCTGTTTTTATAAAGATGGAAAAACTGAATCTTCGTGAAGGGAGGCAGGTGTCCCTGTGTCCCACAGGCAAGATCCTTAGGTGCCCCACCCAGGGTCTTTTTCCCAGTCTCCTCAACAGTCCAGACACCCAAATGGTTTGAATCCCCAGGGCAGCCATGTACAACTCTCAGGAATATCTATTACACAGTAGATGTCAGTGAGTCACGTTTGTAGAATGGCAGTCAAGGATCTTGAGGGAGAGGCGCCGCTTAGACCAGGGATGGATCTGGGAACCCCTCTGTAAGGCCCTCTTCCTACACCCTCTGCAATTGCAGGTCTCCAGTGTTTCCTTGACTCCCCCAAGAATGTGCCTTCTGCCCCAGAATTCAGCCCTCATGCCACCCCCCACTGTGCCTCTGAACACATCCTGGTTCCATTTCTTCCACCACTTTTCCAAATTCCGGGGACCTGGTCAAGGTGCAGACTGTGGTCAAGTCAGCATAACCTGCCTTCTGCCCACACGCATTTTTTAGAGCAGGATGGTCCAGTGTTGTGATCACCTTGGGCTACTAGAGAGTCCGTCTTCTGCACAGGACGTGGCATACAGGGCATGGCATTTTTGAGTGGCTTCTCTTACTTCTCTTTATCCAGGGGTACGGTGCAAACTGCAGGGCTCACCACAGAGCATGGGTTTAGAATAGGGCCTAGGTTAGACTGTCCAAATGTCTGGCCGCGGGGAGAGAACATTCAGCTGAAGCATGTGTGGTGGTACCACATAGGGTTCAGATAGAAATGTAGAATCTGGAGCTAAGGAGAAGCTCAAGTTCATGCAGTGGTAGAACCTCTTGGAAGAATACTTCCAATGCTTTGCTTGTGATGCTATAGATGCTTGTGAATGCAGACCATATTGAAAAGGCGATTTCCTCCTCATTCTGTCTCGATAGCGCATTTTGGAGACTATGATTCTTCCATTCATCATCCAGGCTATCTTTCTGATAGTCAGTTTATACCAGATCAGAACGATGACTTTTTAACGAAGGTGGAATCGCTCCACGAACAGCACAGGTGAGAAGAGGGGTGGGGTGGCCTACTTTGGGAACCCAGGTCACACATTTCAGACCTTATGTTCCCTTGTGTCTGATGTGTTCTCTTCCTTTTGTTCATGAATCCTCTTTTAAGCTGTCGGAGGTTTGTGAACCTTTGAGATGTTACGATGGCAGATATATTTGGCATAACTAGCATTTCTGTAAAGTGCAAAATCCGGTAAGAGTTTAAGGGGATTTACAGCATTCTTTTTTAGGGTGTCATTGAAATCTGTTAATTCCTAGCGGAAATGCCCTTTTTAAATATGCCCCACAAATTGACCTACCAGGCAACTTTTAACAGTTGACCACATTTGATAAAATGGGTGGCTCCATCAAGCATCATTGAATAGACAGGCAGGTGGACGAATGCCAGGAGGCCCTGTGAATCCCACATCCTCCCTGGCTTCTGGTCGTGAAACCGCCTTCATTCCAGAAGGGAGGCCCACTCTTCCGTAGCTGCCGCAGGCCCAGCTTCCATTCCAGCAGATATGCCCGATTCTGGGCTCCTTGTCCTTTGCCTTATTTTATTCAAAGCTACAGAGAGGCAACTCTATAGTCCAGGTCAGATCAGGGCCATCCTGACCAGGAAGGCCAGGTCTCAAGGGACCTGACATTGTTGGGAAGGCTGCAAAAACAAAGGCCAAGCAATTGGCGTCCCTTCTAAAAGGCACGGCCAATCCTCCCTCCCAGAATTGTTTCCCAGGCAGAAGCCAGCATCCTAAAATAGCACAGTGACGTTTGGGATTTTGAGGCTGCCAGCAGAATAGATAAAGGTGGAAAGACCTGAAGAGCACCTATCAAGTAAGCAACTTGGAACAAGGAGGGTGGGAATTCCAAAAGGTGACTTCCTTCCGTATCTCAGTATTGAGAGCCTAATAATGGGAAGTATTATTCAGTAAAGGACTTGAGCAGACGATGAAGTCCTATTCGGTGGGCAAGAGAAAAGACCTGGTTTAGTAGAATTTAGGGTGAGATTGTTGAAGATTAATAACATAAGGCATTTAATAACCTTACAGAAATGTTACCAATTTGGAGGGGATTTTTATGTTAAAAATTGGAGTTGTGTACTCTGTTGATTCGAGAGCTCTGCGTTGTCTCTTGTCTTCTGTAGTGGACTAAAGCAGTCAGAAGCTGAATCTTGCTTTATCAACATAGCACGGACCCTCGACTTCTATGGAGTGGAGCTACACAGCGGTAGGGTAGGTACCCTCGGCATTTCCGGGTTCAGAAATTAATTTCCGAAGGTTTGAAAACTTCTTTGAGACTATGTCTTTTCCAGTATAATAAAAAAAGAGCTTTGTGTAACAATATTCAGAAAGTTTATAAAGTTGGTTATCCAGTTGTTTTTTCATGTTTCATGCTTCCATGGGGTCGGGGGGCGGGGTGGTCATGGGGATTAGAAACAAGTAGTTTTTATTTTTATTTTATTTTTATTTTTTAAAAAATGTTTATTCACTTTTTGAAAGAGGGCGCACGAATGGGGGAGGGGCAGAGAGAGACAGACAGAACCTGAAGCAGGCTCCAGGCTCAGAGTGGTTAGCACAGAGCCTGACGCAGGGCTCGAACTCACAAGCTGTGAGAATATGACCTGAGCTGAAGTCGGATGCTTAACTGACAGAGCCACCCAGGCACCCCAGAAACAAGTAGTTTTTAAAAATTTTTAATGTTTATTTTTGAGAGAGAGGGAGAGAGAGAGAGAGAGAGACAGAGCATGAGAGGGGGAGGGTCAGAGAGAGGGAGACTCGGAATCAAAGTAGGCTCGAGGCTCTGAGCTGTCAGCACGGAGCCTGACGCAGGGCTCGATGCCACGAACTGTGAGATCATGACCTGAGCCAAAGTCGGACACTTAAATGACCGAGCCACCCAGGTGCCCCAGAAACAAGTAGTTTGTAAAGATGATTTCATATGATGATTAAAGAAGCAAAAAATGTGTCTGTCCATTTTCCAAGTGATACTTTAATGAGCCAAGGTGTTTACTATTTCATCTCATTGCTGTTCAAATTACCCAAATATGACAGCTTTTTCTTCTAAAGTTTATTTATTTATTTTGAGAGAGAGAGGGCACCTGTGCACACATTGGGGAGGGGGTGGGTAGAGAGAGAATCCCAAGCAGGCTCCACCCTCAGCACAGAGCCCTACATGGGGCTCAATGCCATGACTGAGATTGTAACCTGAGCCAATATTAACAGTTGGATGCTTTTAAAAATTATAATGTTATTGGGGCACCAATATTGGGTGGCTCAGTCGGTTAAGCGTTCGACTTCGGCTCAGGTCATGATCTCACAGTTCGTGAGTTCGAGCCCCACATCAGGCTCACTGGTGTCGGTGCAGAGCCTACTTTCGATCCTCTGTCCCCTCGTCTTTCTGCCCCTTCCCTGCTCATGCTCTGTCTCTCTCTCTCTCTCAAAAATAAACATTAAAAAAATTTTTTTTAATTATAATGGTACAATCATGAAAACCAATAAATATTTTAATTGATTGTGACTTTTAATTTTTTTTAATGTTTATTTTTGAGAGAGAGAGTGGGGGAAGAGCAGAGAGAGAGGGAGACAGAGAATCCCAAGCAGGGCCCTCACTGTCAGCACAGAGCCCAGTTTGGGGCTCTAACTCGTAAACTGTGAGATCATGACCTGAGCCAAAATCAAGAGTCAGACGCTTAACTGACTGAGCCACCCAGGAGCCTCTTGTTGTGACTTTTTAAATAAAATTGAGTAGGGGCGCCTGGGTGGCTTAGTCGGTTAAGCGTCGACTTCGGCTCAGGTCACGATCTCACGGTCTGCGAGTTCGAGCCCCACGTCAGGCTCTGTGCCGACAGCTCGGAGCCTGTTTCGGATTCTGTGTCTCCCTCCCTCTCTGACCCTCCCCCATTCATGCTCTGTCTCTCTTTGTCTCAAAAAAATAAATAAACGTTAAAAAAAAAAGTTTTAAATAAAATTGACTAATATCCATCATCTACTGAGTAATTTCTATCTGCCGGATACAGTGGCTTGCTTATTTCCCCCAGTAATGCTGTGAGGTATTATCATTACCCCCATTTTACAGATGGAGAAACTGATACTCAGGGACTTTTGGAAGGTCACACAGCACAGAAGTAGCAGCTTTAGTACATGACCCCAGCACTGTCTAGTTGGCCTCTGACCTTTCTATTTTCTGCCAGTAATTGGTCCACATCATATACAAAAGAAAGCAAATATTGAATACCTAGTAGGTACTAGACATTGTTCCAGATGCTTTCATGAGACCACAATGTCTCGTTTAAAGATTATAGCAACCTTGAGAAATCAGTATTTGAATCATCCCATTTTACAGTCAGAAAATGTAGGCTCAGGGAAGTTGAGTAAATAATCAGACTCTACATCTGAGAGTTTTGCGATTCATAGAAACACTTTCATTTCTTTTGTGCCATTCCAATCCCATAACCGTGTGATAGGCAAGTTACAGCCTCAGTAATAAAGGAGGAAGAAGATATGGGGTCTTATAAAATATCAACTTTGGGACTTGATGGTTAATTTTTATTCCGTTGCAAATAATCACTTGCCGTGGAATGTTGTGGAGAACTTTTTTCAGCAGTGAAGTGGACTTTATCTGTATCTGAGTTGACCTGCACTCTCCCTACCCCCTGTGTCCCATGAGTGACCTCAAGCCAGATGATTACCTGCCTGGCTCACACCTCCCAGGGTATCAGAGGGAGCTGGGTTACCTTTGACTATGTTGTGTCAGGCAGAACCCCCTACACACCAACGACCTGACGCCACAGAGCTCACTTCCCGGTAGTTCAAAGGCTCCGATGGGTCCCAGCAACCCTCCAGGTGCAGTGACTCGGCAGCCAGGCTGCCTCCATCTTGAGGCTTCACCTAACATGGCCTCGTGTGTGCGGCAAGGGAAGAGGAAGTTGGAGGGTTGGCTTCACAGCAGCTCTGAAATGATTCAGCCCAGAAGAGATCCATCACTGCTCCTAGAACATTGACCATGACTAGTCACGTGACCCTGCCTTCTCCAGTACAAGTGTAGCTGGGAAGTGTGGGGACAGGCGTGGGAATTTAGTGGATAGTTACTATCCTGGGTTGAGTTGCATGTGATCCCAGCTGGGTACCCAGGAGTGAATACTCTGGACTTTCGACTGTATCAGTCAGCAGTGTTTTGTTTGGCCAATTTCTCTAATTCCCCTTGTTCATATCACTGTCCACAAATGATTTGTCCCACCACATCTTGAAAGGCAAAAGGAAATGAAAATATAATTATACTTGCCACATGTTCTCTAATTTTAGCCTTTGGAGAGGTGGGTTTGATAATCCTTATTATACAAAAGGAAAAATTAAGGCTCAGTAGCCCAAAATAACACAGCTAATAGGTGACAAACCTAAACTTCACACTCAGTCGTAACTAAGTCAGACTCTGCCCCCGCTCCTATTGAATATAATTTGGAGTATATGATAGGGTAAATTGGGGCATAGGTGACTCAAGGGAAGGAAATGTTTTATTTTAAAATTTTATTTTACTCAGGGAACCTGGGTGGCTCAATCAGTTGAACATCCGACGTTGGCTCAGATCATGATCTCACAGTTTGTGAGTTCGAGCCCCACGTTGGGCTTGTTGCTCTCAGCACAGAGCCCCCCTTGGATCCTCTGTCTCCCTGTCTCTGCCCCTCCCCATGTTTTCATTGTCTACGGCAATGCCTAGCACACAGGCTCTTAATAAATGTTGAGTGTATTGGATTTGTAGGCTGTATTTCTTTCTCAATTGGATTTAAAGTCAGCAGTTCTACACTTCACGACAGTAGCTAAAGCCTTTTCAGTGATGAAAGTTGAGATTGGTATAAAGCTGTGCAGAGGGTGAGGTCTTTCTGATGTTCACATGATATCTAATACTAATTGTAGGAAATGTACAATTGGATATTCGTTTCAAGATTCCGTGGAATGATGAGTAGGCCTTGCTGGTAACTCTCTAACCCAGAGGGACCCAGATATTGCTCTCAGGCAGCGCGTGTGCATTTTAGAAGAGTCTGGTGCTAAGCATTTGGATCTTAAGTATCGGTTGCCTGTTTTCCATAACATTCTTCCTTTGGAGCTTATACATACTGCTATTTATAACAGCGTGGGTGCTTGAGTTACCAGAGGGCATAAGCATGACTGTAACACACTGTGAATCTCGGTTCTTCCTTTTTACAGGATCTGCACAATTTAGATCTAATGATTGGGATTGCTTCTGCGGGCATTGCCGTGTACCGAAAATACATTTGCACAAGTTTCTATCCTTGGTAAGTGCAAACCACTTCTAATTATTTTCTGAATCATGCTTTAAAAATATGCTGAACAAAAGAAATGTTATCTCTAATTTTAAACTGGTATTTCTAAAGGAGGGGTGGAGACCAGGTTTTTACCTCTGACCTCTGAGGTTCATCCAGATTCGGTACTTGGGAAAAGGAGTTTGGTTTCCACTGGCAGCCCCTTCCTCCGGTCACCCTGTGGTTTGGGATACTCTGTGGAAACAGGGATGAAGTGGCTCAAGGCAGGTTTTGGAGTTACAGAGTCCTGGGCGGTACATTGGCCAGAACTCAGAGAACTTCCTTTGGGCAGGAACTGTATTGTCACTGTGGTTCCTTAGTTATTAGTTGGACTTTTACTAAGTATTCTGTTCTGGTCTACAAACTCAGGGGACCAAACAGACTTAATCCTCACAAGACCACTCTGAAAAAGGCAGTGCCTTCCAACTACGTCATGCAGGACTTGTTAGCAGAGGCTCAGATCTGTGCATCCCTTATTGAATGATCTTGAGCACTTAGGGGAGGTGTCTGAGCCTCAGTTTCATCATCTGAGAACTGGGAATAATAATATGTTGCAGGACTATTGCAAGGCTTAGTTGAGAGACTAATGTAAAGCTTTTAGTAGGGAACCGGTATATAAAAATGCTGCACATGGGGGCTATAATCGTGTTCTTATGCAAACTTGACACATGGCCAGTAACTACCAGAGTGGAGATGTGGGCCCAAGTCTGTCTGGTTGCTGTCTGTCCTCCCTCTGCTGCTCCACACTGCCCTCAGCTGGTCTCCCCAGGCACACACCAGCTCAAGCAGAGCTACACTGTCACAAAAGCAAATGACCACAAACAGCGCACATTGCCCATGGTTCTTGTTATTTAAAAGCTACATCGTGATTCAGTAGTCCTTATGTGATACTCAGCTTCAGTGAGCTCCTTGGTATGCAGCTAAAGCTACAGGCCTGTTGTCATTCCTACCGCGGGGTAAACTCTAGGAAGCGGAGAGCCCGTGCTCCTCATGGTCATGGAGTAGAGGATACACGTTGTGAGGCATCAGCTGCCAGCCAGCTGATCCCTATGTGCATTTTATATGTTTCATTTTTTTGCAGGGTGAACATTCTAAAGATTTCTTTCAAAAGGAAAAAGTTCTTCATACATCAACGACAAAAACAGGTGAGTTATGTCTACACTTGCTTTGTTTCTTGTGTTTTTAGCCACTTCAGCTCTTAGTTCTTCAGCAGGTGAAGGCAGCTGGCCGTCCGTGTGACTGGGGGGAGAAAGAGCATGGCATGGGGGGGGAGAAAATGGAAGTTGGAGTCCAGAGTTGCCTGTAGAATTCACTGTGTTTATCTGATAGCAGACGTAACTTGCTTTGGAGTTAGTAACGATGAGTTTGGATCCTCACTCTTCTACTTACCAGCTGGGCTGGTTACATAACCTCCCCTAGCCCAAGTTAGCTTGTTTCCAGAAATGTAGTAGTACCCACCTCTCCGGGAATCGAGAAGATTAAATAAAAGCATTGGTCAGAGCACCTGGCATGAGCCCATGCAGCGTAGCAATACATATCAGCGAGATCAGTTCCTCCCCTTGATGTGTTTAAACATGCACAGTAACCTTTGCATGTGTCTCCTAAGAGGGACCACCACTCTCCAGATGACTCTCGTTATCAGTATGGAGAAGAGGGCTCGAAAGTGCTACCAAGTGGAGGTGCTGGAATTTGAATCAGAGATACCATGCTCTATCCTGTTATGTCCTGTATTTTTTTTATTTTTTTAATGTTTATTTTTAAGAGAGAGAGAGAGACAGACAGACAGACAGAGTGCAAGCAGGGGAGGGGCAGGGAGAGAGAGGGAGACACAGAATCTGAAGCAGGCTCCAGGCTCTGAGCTGTCAGCACAGAGCCTGATGCGGGGCTCGAACTCATAGACTGTGAGATCATGACCTGAGCCGAAGTTGGATACTCAAATTTGAGTGAACCACCCAGGTGCCCCATGTATTTTTCACTTATTGTCACTATGTTCATTTCCCAGGGTTTCAAAGATAATATGTACTTAAAATGGCTCCACATAGCAGTGATCACTTGGAAATGAGGACACCAGAGCTCAGAGCAAACTAGGACTAGAATCTGGGTCTCCTGACCTTCCCCCCCATTGCAAGATTGAAGGTGGCCCCAAAATGCACAACATGGTAATATAACATGAAAACAGAAAACTTAAACTCAGGTAGAATGAGGGTCAAGGAAATGATTAAATTAACTCCATGCTCAGGGGAAAGCAAATAAAGAAATCCAAAGGCTTATAAAATCTCAAGTTTCAGGTAAGTGGAAGACATTCTTCAGGAGAGATTTTCCCAGAGCTAAGTTTTAAAAGAAATGTATCACACAGCCTTTATCTGGTTGGTCCAAATATATCCAACCTAGGAATGTAAGCACATTCCAAATCAGAGTGTTCATGGAGAATCACAAGTGATGATAAAGGGGAGAGCCAGGTCATCTTTTCCACAGGAATAAGATGCTTAACTGATCCTGCTCCTGAATAGTCCTATGACACTGGTGTCTGACCTAAGGCATTTTGAAGCTGGTTTTCCACATTCTGTTACATCTTCCCTGATGACCACTGATGCGGACATAGAACATCTATGCACCTTTGTCCTTTCATCTGTGCAGATGAAATCTCTACTGTGCTTTTTCCTCCCAGACTGAATCCAGGGAACATATTGTGGCCTTCAACATGTTAAATTACCGATCTTGCAAAAACTTGTGGAAATCCTGTGTGGAACACCATACATTCTTTCAGGCTAAGAAGCTACTACCTCAGGAAAAGAATGTTCTGTCTCAGTACTGGACTATGGGCTCTAGGAACCCCAAAAAGTGAGTATTATTGAGGGACAGTATCTACACTAGAGTGAGACATGAATGTGTCCTGGCCACTGCTGAGTAGAGGACATCCTCAGGGGAAGGGACGCCATCATCCAGGGACCCCAGGAGCAGAGCTGGAGCTGCGCAGTTCAGAGTCTCCCCAGGGGCAGCAGTGTCTCTTTCCATGCAAACTCAGATACTTCTATTCCTCTGCTTCCTTTCTGTCTCCTCAACTTTGCTGCCCCTGGAACACCCAAGCAGCCAGAAATGCAGCTGCTCCTGTACCGTGTCATACTAAGAGAAGCGGGTGGCAGTGACTCTGAGGGTCGTCATGGTACCAAGACAACCCCTCCCACCATCTGTTACATCTTCCCTGATGACCGCTGATGCGGACATCCCTAATAACGAGTGAACAGAAATAATGCTTCCCAGGGGCGTGCCTGGGTGGCTCAGTTGGTTAAGCATCTGACTTCGGCTCAAGTCGTGATCCCACGGTCCGTGAGTTCAGGTCCCACGTCTGGCTCTGTGCTGACAGCTCGGAGCCTAGAGCCTGCTTCCGATTCTGTCTCCATCTCTCTCTTCCCCTCCCTCACTCACGCTCTGTCTCTCTCAAAAATAAATAAACATTAAAAAAAATTTTTAAAAAAAGAAAGCTTCCCAGAGTCAAGTGACTTTGGGATATGCTACCTAGTAACAGCCACAAAATAACAGTAATAATGAGAACTGCCAGTTGAGTGTTTACTTGGTACCATGTGCATACTTAATTATATTTAAGTATAATTAGTATCTACAGGAATCATATTAAAAAATCATATTAAAATGTTTAATGAGTAGTACAGTGGAAGAAATTACTCTTATAAAATTGTAACTTTAGATTACAATGTATTCCCTAAACTAATCATGCAGTTTATATTGTGTATTTATTCTAAGACTGCCTTCTCAGGACCAGATACAGCAGAAATCATTTATCAAGTTATTGTAAACTATTGGTTTGAAAAACTGCTCTCATAATTTTGCATTGTTGTTGAAGTGGCTATTACTAATGAAATAATGCCCCTGTCTGAGCCATTATCTGGTATGTGGGACTGTATCACACAATTCCAGTGACTTTCCTATTATGTTGATAATCATTAGGTAGCTTTTTATAGATTCAATTAAGTAGCAAATTAATGTTAGTAGCAGTGGTAGTATCTGTGATGCTAAGTGCTCTCTCTCAGCTTCTGATAAACCCAGAGCAAATATATTTTCAAAGTTTGCAGCTCCTATAATATTGTTTCTAGTATTTTATACATTCAGTAGCTATTACTGAAGATGTCACAGACATAACTTACTGGAATATAGTTTTTACATTAGTTGAACCTAATCCTTTGACCCAGCTGATAGGATTAGATAGTGAGCAGTTGAAAGCATGGACCGTTGCTAAGAAAACTGAGTTCAAATTCTACCACTGTCACTTCAATTCAGATGTCTTTGTTTCTGAAAAATGTAGCCAACATGGAGTCGGGGGTGAGGTGGGGCAGGTTCTGGTTACCCATTGTGGCAGAATAACCTACCCCTATTTTGGTCCCTTGAAACAAGCTTGGGGCGCTTGGATGGCTCAGTCCAGTGTCCAACTCTTGATCTCAGCTCAGGTTATGATCTCAGGGTCATGAGTTCAAGCCCCACGTTGGGCTCCATGCTGGTATGGAGCCTACTTAAAAACAAAACAAACAGAAAACCACAATCTTTCTGTCATCTGTCAAGATTTTGTGGATAAAGAATTTAGGAAAGACCATGTAGTAGACTGGGATTTCTCAGTGACAGGCAACTGGTGGCTGGGCTGGGCTATGGATCCAGGATGACTTTGCTCCCATGCTTGATGGCACGATGGGAAGGCTGGACTCAGCTGGACCCTTCACTTCGTTCTGTGTCCTCTGGGCCTCGTCATGTGTGCTCTCCAGCAGGGTAGTAGATGTCTCATGCAGAAGTTCAGGGCTCCGGCCACCTAAGGCAGAAGCAGCCAGCCATCTTAAAGGCCAGGTCCAGAACTGCACAGCTACTCTTGGTCAAAGCAGTCACAGTCCAGCCCATATTCAAGAGACGAGTCAAAGAAGAGCTATAGCCATTTTTAATCTGCCACTGGGGGTCATTTGGGATATTGGTGGTTCATGGCACAGGTCATCAGTTCATTGCTGCTAAGACCAGCTTCAGTGCACTGCAGATTTCAGCCCTCACCATCTCCATTTTATAAATGAGGAAACTGAGGCATAAGGTTACATGATTTGCCCAACCCTAGGGATACATCTACATACTTGCATGTTGGGCTCCCTGATAGAAGTTCCACATAGAAGAAACTTGTTCAGTATTTTGCAAGCTTAAGGGACAATGGAACATTTTTTTCCCCAAAGGGTATCTATTAATAACCTGTGACACATACTTTGGGGAACTACAACATCAAACCTTTGAATCTTCTAGCTTGTCCTCTTGTTCTGAGGCAGCATTCTCAATCAGTGCTAATTTGCTCTCTGATATAGATTCTCCCAGTGATGTTGCTGTGAGTGTTTTGATCCGGGTAACAGCAGTATTTCTTACTGTAAATTAGTACATTGGCATTCTAGGGCATGTTTCGTGTTCTTTTGGGTTTTTTGTCCTGCCTGTTTTTTGTTATTATTGTTTGTTTGTTTGGCTTGTGAGTTTTAGGCTGCAAGGAAATGTGTGCAATTTTTTTTTTTGGTGTTTTTTTTTTTTTTTTTTTTGAGAAAAAGAACATGAGTGGGAGAGGGGCAGAGGGGGGGTGGAGGGAGGGGTGGGGGGAAAGAATCTTAAGCAGGCTCTACACCCAACACAGAGCTTGACACGGGGCTTGATCCCATGAGATCCATGAGATCCCATGACCATGAGTTCATGACCTGAGCCAGAATCAAGAGTTGGATGCTTAACCAACTGAGCCATTGCAGGTGCCCCTGGAATGTTTTAATAAGGCATTAAAACACCACTGAAAGTTTAGGAATAGCAGAACTGAGTTTCCTAGCTGACTTCAAACCCCATCCTTTCAAATAATTCATTCTCTGAGGGGTCTAGGTAGCTAAGATTTAAATTCTCTAGGTATAAGTAAACACAAAAGTTAGCTTCGGGGAGGCCCTTTCTTAGAACATAGCATGGCATGTTCTTAGAACCTGCCGCTGTGAAAGCATTTTCTCAGGCCTTCTCTCAAAGAGCTATCTGTGATTTACAGCTAATGGCTTCTGCCAGCTTGCATGACGAAGAAACCTTCTGGAAGGATGGTTGATGTTTGTATTCATGCCATTGTGAATAAAGTGAGATTTCCTTTAACTTGAACTGCATTTCTGTGTTATCCTGATAGTTCCATAATGGCATGGTTTGGTTATATTTTGGGACCAGCTTTGTTGCTTGCAGTAGTAAGGCTCAAGAAAATAGTTTCACCAGAAGAGAAGAGATAACCAGGAAGAGCCAGGACAGAACGGAACCGCATTTGACCTGCATACCTCTGACCCCTTGTAACCTTGGCTGGTGTCATCCCAGTGCTCACCAGCCGCCCACCAGGGAGGGGGAGCATGGTTAGACCGTTTGCTTCACTTATGCCATGATTTCTTGTTGAACGCATCTGTGTGGAAAGTGAACCTTGCTTCTGGTTTTTCAGGTCTGTAAATAACCAGTATTGCAAAAAGGTGATTGGAGGGATGGTGTGGAACCCAGCCATGCGGAGATCGTTATCAGTGGAGCACTTAGAAACCAAGAGCCTGCCTTCTCGGTCCCCTCCTATCACTCCTAACTGGTACGTGCTCGTTTTTTTTTGTACTACCCACTTCTCTCTCTTAACAATTCAACTTCATACAGTTTCCCAATATAGGCATCCTGCAATCAGAGTTTATGTTTGTGTGCTTGCTTGGTGCAAAATTAACAGTTTACTGTTGTTGTGAAATACGCAAGCCTTACTAAACATTTTCCTTAGTGTATAATTCTGGGACGTTCTCTTTTAAAAACTTATTTGGGGTGGGGGGGGCGCCTGGGTGGCTCAGTCAGTTAGGCGTCCGACTTCAGCTCAGATCATGATCTCACAGCTCCTGAGTTTGAGCCCCACATCAGGCTCTGTGTCGGGCTCTGTGCTGACAGCTCAGAGCCTGGAGTTCAGCTCGATCTCTGTGTCTCCCTCTCTCTCCCTGCCCCTCCCCTGCCAGTCTCTGTCTCTCAAAAATAAATAAACATTAAAAAAAATTTTTTTTTAATTTTTTTTTTTTAACGTCTATTTGTTTTTCAGACAGAGAGAGACAGAGCATGAACAGAGGAGGGGCAGAGAGAGAGGGAGACACGCTAATCTGAGAGGTCTTAGGTTGGTCAGACAGAGCTCAGGGCTCAACTCACGGACCATGAAGATAACGACCTGAGCCGAAGTCGGACGCTTAACCGACCGAGCCACTCAGGCGCCCCCCCAAAAAAATTTTTTTAAATCTTATTTGGTCTGGGGGTGCCTGGGTGGCTCAGCCAGTTGAGTCTCCAACTTCAACTCAGATCATTATCTCACCTTTCATGGGTTCGAGCCCCTGCATCAGGCTCTGTGCTGACAGCTCAGAGCCTGGGGCCTGCTTTGGACGCTGTGTCTCCCTGTCTCTCTGCCCTTCCCCCATTTATTCATTTAATAAATGGGTAAACATTTATTAAATGAATAAAAATTTTAAAAAAATGTTTTTATTTGGTCTGAATTTGAGAACTACAGCCTCCTGAAATGCCCCTTTGGGGAGTACAGTACACGCTGGCATACTGATGTTCTGGGAAGTCCTGTAATAAGGAAGCATGCTGAGCTTTATCTAATCTGTTTTCCGTTGGCATCGCACAAAATAAACTTTGGGAAAGCCTAGTAAAGGTATGCAACGTAGGATGCAGGATTCTGAAAAACAGTAGCTAATGCGCTTGGGGAAGTAGCCCACCGACTTTTTAATATGATGGCTTGAAAGGAAGGAAGTGGCAATTTGGCCAAGTGGGAAGGGCACTGATTATATAACTGTATCACCCAGACTCAGATTTTGGCTCTTCTGTTAAATTATCAAGTTTCTTTACCTCTCTGGTCTCAGTCTCCCCATGTGTAAAAAGGTTGTAAAAATCACCACAAATGATGTACCAGTGTGCGGGTGCTTTGTAAGCGATTAAAAGAAATGAGATGGAATTAGTATCATTATTTTATTATAATGTTCCTGAGAGACATCAGCCCATTTTTGTGAATGCCTCCAAAATGACCAGGTATCATCAGGGGGAGAGGGAAACCCAGCCAGAGGCACTGCCCCAGCTCCACGCTGGAATTAAGAGTATGGCTTTCTGTTCATTTCACAAAAGACAAGGTGGGCCTATAAGTTACCAAGGACGGATCTTCTAGGACTAGGGGAGATTCTAACCCACACAAAACGGAGGTGCTGTGCAGGGTGGCTGGGTGAGGACCCTCCCCCGGGGGCCCAGTGCTCTAGCCAGAGATACTGATGGTATTTAGTGTTAGAAATCACAGTATGACTGAGTAGATTCGTTTCTTGGTTTCCCACGATTTAGGCACTTCATCCTAAAGTGGTAGGTTTATGCTGTAAAGTAGCAGCTTTGTCTGCAAGCCTCTTAGGCACTGATGCCAGGGCCCCAGAGCAGAGACCCAGGACAGCATCCAGGAGAACAGCGGGGTTTGATGTTGCCACACCCGTGGCCTGGAGCTCTTACTGCTATTTATAGGTCCCCTCCTGAGGAGTCACGAGCCTTTCTACCCTATTCTGGACACAGTATTATTGATTAGCAGAGCCCAGGGGGAATGGGAATAGTGAAGGAGGCCCTGACAGTCTCAAAGAGAAATGGCTCACAAAGAAGAAGGTGGAAAAACTGAGAGAAGATAAAACTTAGAAGGCTCAGCAGCCTGGGATCACCCACTGCAGGAGCCGATGCCCAGGTGCTTCCCCAGGCGTCCGGAGATCATTGCTTCATTTGGTTCATTCTCAGGAGCAGGTAGGTACAGCTGAGGCCCAGAGAGGTGTTGTGACTTGCCTGCAGCCACATAGCTAGCTACTGCTGCTATGCCCACCTAACAGGGCATACAGGATATATTTTTAAAAGCAAACACTGCTTCTTGGATCAAGTGAAATTCACATGAAGGGATGTAGTTGAAATACGGTTTCAGTTTTGCCAAAAACTGTACCTTGGCTTCTAAACCCTTTATTTATACTGGTGCTCAAATGACTCTGAAGAATTGATCAGTAGTCAGTATGGTGTGTTATCTGTACGTTGAGAGCTTGAGTCCTACTGGAAGAATAGCTCCCTAAGTCAACACTCACCACTTCCCGAAGGGCATAAACCGCTCTCATCTGCCTACGTATACAGTCAACGCTACCGTCTTGGGGGCTATACCACGGGGCTGAGAGTCTTGAGGACCCACATGGCCCTTGGTGGATTCTGGTGTAGTAATGGGTTAACTGGTTCTTAATTTCCAAAAGCGTTAGCCAAGGCATCCTTGGAAAGGTCAGGGCACAAAGCCAGATCGCCGATGTCTAACGAAGTTTTTAAGTGCAATTTGCTTTCGGGACTTTCACGCTCGACCTCTCTCCCACGCAGGCGAAGTCCTCGGCTCCGGCACGAAATCCGGAAGCCACGGCACTCTTCCGCAGATAACCTTGCGAACGAGATGACGTACATTACCGAAACTGAAGATGTGTTTTACACGTACAAGGCTTCCCTGTCCCCGAAAGACAGCGATTCCGAGGTTTCTCAGAACCGGAGCCCTCACCGAGAGTAAGAAATGTGTTGTTCTCTTCTTTGTATCTGCTTGTTTTGGCTGTTGAGGAATTTGCTTAAGCCCAGATGGCCATTTAGGTCAAGGGCTAGAGCCTGCAGCCAACACCCTACGTACGGTGCTCTCTGCCAGGATGACGGCGTAAGTCAGACTGTCCGTTCCACCACAGGACGACAAGCTGTGTGCCTGAGGTCCAGAGCTTGCGCTCATTTTTGTCTGTGACAGAGACCTACTCTCCACATATGTGTTGCTCCCTTGAATAGTCTCTAGTTCATGAGCAAAGCCCAGGTTAAATGAGTTCACATTCCAGGGGTATAGATGCGTTCACTGCTGGAGTATTTCTCTAGATTGCCAAAGTTTTACCACTACAGGACTCCTAGATCACTGGAAATACGCTTACTTCTACCTGTCCACAGAAAGCCTTCTCAGACCCACAGTATGCCCTCAAGGTTTGCTTTAGATGAATTGCGAGTATAAAGCAAAAACATGCATAGAACATCTCTGAAACTTTGTTAACTTTTTGTCAACAGTTTGCATTAAGTTCCTTTTATGCCCCCATCTTCCTTTTTATAAATGTGACAAACTCCCTTCACATCTCAAGGCCAGGGAAAAATGTCTCTCTGAGAGTACTGGCTTGAGTTCTTTTATTATTCAATAAGGTATATCTAATTCACTAGTTCTCTTTTCGTCTTGCTTACCGGGGAACTCAGAGCTCCATGTTAGGTTCAATTGCACTGGCTTCCCTTAGCCCAGGTTTCCGATACAGCCCCTGTTTCTTTTCCTCCTTGCCTTATTCATGGGTCTTACTTTTTTCTCTCAATGAATTCACAGTTCTCCCATATCTATACATTTTAGAGTTAGCTACCTCAAATTTTTTAAAGTAGACATGGTCAAAAAGTGACATTTTAAGCTGAACTATGAGAGAACTGGAGCAACCATTAGGAAGTCACCCACAGGCACTGGGTGCTCATTCTGTTAAGTCCCATACTGTACCCGAACTATAGAAACATAATGCTGCCCTGAACAGGCCAGGATTAGCAAGAAGCCACTTCAGTTAATCTGTAAATTTTTACCACTCTAGCTGCTAGGCTTAAAGCATTAAACGCATCCTGATTGTATTCTAGACATCGGCAGGTGAATTGCAAATCTCACTTCCCATTTATGTATTGCAAATCTCACTTCCCATTTATGTGTGAGGTTGTCACCTCTCTGTTGTTTCTGACCGCAGCAGACATGGTTGCCAGCTTATCTGTGTTCTTAACACCTCTGGTTAAATAATCCTCCGGTCGCTAGTTCCTTGTGACCTGGGCTTGGATGATGCTTTTGCAGAAATGATCAGTATCTCTTGCCCCAACTTGCAGCTCCATTGAAGTGACAGTGTGGAAGGGTGTGAGTTCCTTCATGGGACCCCGTGGTTTTGCAAACCTAGATATACAAGGCAGGAATGCAGGCGTGCATGAATTGAGCCAGTTTGATTCTGCGATGGGCTTCTGTGGCTTTGGGGAAGGTGAAAGAGCGTTTAGGAAATGCACCGAGGGCTCCGGAAAGCTCAGTCACACTCCCCATGTCAGCCCTTCCTCTTGTGGTATGTAGTCCCATCATGGCATTGGGCAGTATCTCGACTTCCCCTGGCCAGTGCAGTAGCCTCTAGTCACGTGTGCCTATTCAGATTCAAATTACTTAACATTTAAATGCCCTCTTCAGTCATCCAAGCCTCATTTCAAGTGCTGAAGAGCCCCATGTAGGTAATGACTGCCATGCTGGACAGCGCAGATAGAGCATTTCCATCATCACAGACAGTGCTATTGACAGTACTTACCAGTGCGGGCTAGAAGGAGACGGATTGTGTCTGGTGGGGTGTGGGTATTTTAAAGGGTTACGTGCATGGCTGAGTGCAGCAGCGTAACTTCTGTGCCTTTTGCTGCTCATTGAGGGGACATCAAGGGGAAGTAGACAAGTCTTTGCGTTAAGGGGCCTCCAGTCCAGTTGGGCAGATAGCACACAGTCAGCCTTCCTCCTTGCATCTTCTGCCACTTTTGTAAAAGGAAAGAGTTTGGGGAACGGTCTGAGGTCCCATGTCAGGCTTTCCTCCTGTGGTCTGCCACCACATCATGGAATCATGCAGCAGCTAGACCCTCACAGTCCAACACAGGAGCCACAGTCCACGTAGGGCCATTTAAATTTATGGTTTTTTTTTGTTTTTGTTTTTGTTTTTTTTTTTTAAATTTTTTTCAACGTTTATTTATTTTTGGGACAGAGAGAGACAGAGCGTGAACGGGGGAGGGGCAGAGAGAGAGAGGGAGACACAGAATCGGAAACAGGCTCCAGGCTCTGAGCCATCAGCCCAGAGCCCGACGCGGGGCTCGAACCCACGGACCGCGAGATCGTGACCTGGCTGAAGTCGGACGCTCAACCGACTGCGCCACCCAGGCGCCCCTAAATTTATGTTTTTTTAAGTTAGATTCAAAATTCACTTCCTTGAGTCCCGTTTGACTCAAGTAATTTTGGGCTCTGCACACCCCTAAACACTGCACATCAATTCTGAAACTCTTGCATGAGACCTTGTAAGGTGGGTCGTCCTGGGGCACTTTTTCGCTGCAGCTGAATGTTGAACGTAGTGGATAGCGACTCCAAGGCAGCCTTCCTTGTCGCGGCTTTGAGCCAACAGACGTCTCCCAGAGTCAGGTTAGCAGCCGGGCGTTGTGAGTGGGGTAAGCAGTTGAAAAATGGCAGCCCCTACCGGACCGCTTCCTGCTGGCAGAGCCAGCTGCACCCTCCCCAGGAGTCTGGGGTCCCCCACTGCCCAAGGCAAGCAGGAAAAGTTGATCTGTACTTGGTGGGGGGGGGGGGGGGGGGGGGGGGGGAACCTGTTGTAGTTGAGTTTCTGCAAGGTGTCGAGGAAACGTGTGGCATGTTTTATACAGCCCGTTTGTGTTAAGAGGCAGAACGGAGTGTTCCGTCAGAGAAATCGGATGAATAACATCACAGGCGGTAAGTACGGAGGGTTCCTTGTGGAAAGGAGAAGTAAGCGTAACATTCTGTACCCATGTAAACAAGAAGAAGAAAGAGAAGAGAAGAAAAAGAGCAGATAGACTTTGGCTCTAAACCCAGGGTGGCGCGGCTCAGGCTCTCCACACGTTATCTTAGCGGGTGAGTCACTCTCCGGGTTGTTCCGTATTTATAGCAGCACAGCAAAGTTGATGATTATAGTTATGAATCCTTGGCAGTTTGTTTTGTGCCCGAGTCGGCTGTAGTCTTTTGTTAACTCCCAGGTTTCTCTCGGCCATTCCGTGTCCCTTTGCTTGCTTCAGAGTGAAGGCCGAAATCTGCAGCAAAGGAAGTTTCCTTCATGGCAAAAACAAAAAACAAAAAAACAACTTACCATTCCCTAACACCCAGAAAACGTGGGAGGGGAATCTCCCTAAAGGAAAAGTGACTTTGCAAAGCAGAGATTAAAAACAACTTCTGCAGGGGCGCTTGGGTGGCCCAGTCGGTGAAGCGCCCACCTTTGGCTCAGGTCATGATCTCAAGGTTCATGAGTCTGAGCCCCGCGTCGGGCTCTGTGCCGACAGCTCAGAGCCTGGAGCGTGTTTCAGATCCTGTGTCCCTCTCTCTCTGCCCCTCCCCCCAAAAGATAAATAAAAAACATTTAAAAATTTAAAAAAAAACAACTTCCGGGGGTGCCTGGGGGGCTCAGTTGGTTGAGCATACCACTTCGGCCCAGGTCATGGTCTCAGGGTTCATGAGTTCGAGTCCCACATTGGGCTCTGTGCAGACAGTGATGAGTCTGCTTCAGATAATCTGTCCCCCTCTATCTCTGTACCTTCCCCCCCCCCACCAAAAAATAAACATTTGAGGCACCTGGGTGGCTCAGTCAGTTGAGTGTCCAACTTCGGCTCAGGTCATAATCTCATGGTCAGTGAGTTCGAGCCCTACATCGGGCTCTGTGCCAACAGCTCAGAGCCTGGAGCCTGCTTCAGATTCTTTGTTTCCATCTCTCTTCCCCCCTTCTCTGCTCACACTCTGTCTCTCTCTCAAAAAATAAATAAACAAACAAACAAACATTAAAAAAATCAATAAGCATTTAAAACCACAAAGACAACGACAACTTCTGTGCCCTGAGTGGGACTTCAGAAATGCCTCTCTGCAACCACATCGGCAGTGCAGAATGCCGTCCGCCCTGTCACCCAGTCGCCCCATTGGGGATGGGGAGCCCTCCTGCAGTGTGGCAGCCTGTTCTGGTGTTGGACAGCCCAGTTGTCCAGACTGTGTGGGAAGTGTCCTTGATGCTGACCCAGCATGAGCAGGGCCGTCCACAGATCCCTGCCTGGAGCTCCATTTCTGATTCTACCTGATAACCCCATCTACTCTCCTTTACACGAAACGACTCCAGTTCTGTCAGCTACTCTCCACCCCTCGGCCTGCTAGTCACTGTTCCCTGAGCACATCGGTCCTACACTGGCCAGTGGCACACAGATCTGTGTACATCTGAGGGTCTCTGTCAGAGGAGGCCAGCCAGCGACAGGACTGCATCAGCAGTTTTGTGTCTGTTTTCTCTGCACGTTGCCTGTCCTTCACCGGGCGTCTGTCCACATGCATGTAGACGTATAACTGATACTTGAAGCCCCAAGGGACCCCAGTCTCCACTCATCGTCTCCCTGTCCAACCTGTGGCTCCTCCTGTGTCTTGGTGAAAGCGGCCACATTTGCACCCTGTTTGCACCCATTAGAAACTTCCACCATCCTGGACTCCTTCTCTTCCACCTTCCTCAGCTAGGCTCTCACCTTGTTGGTCTTCCTCCCGAACATCTCTTGAATCGGATCCCTCCGCCATCCCACTGCACTGCCTGTGTCAGCCACCATCGTCTGTCACAGAGACTGTTGCGAAACCGCCCTAAGTGTCCTCCTGGCTTTGGTCTCTCCTCCTTCCAAACCATCTTTCACAAGGCTGAGAGCCTTATTTTTATGAAATCTTTGCCCCAGCACGTCACTTCCCTGTGCTTTTTCAGAATCTCATGCCTCTGCATGTGCTGCTGTCCTGTCTCTTTTGTCGTTAGTAGTGTTTGGCCTAGACCCCCTTCTGCTTCCCCTCCTGACTACCCTTCCTAATTCATCTTTCGAACTCCAGGCACAGTTCCCTCTCCTCTGTGAAGGCTCTCCTGGCCTCCCACCATACCCCAGACGCCTGAGCGTCGCCATTGCAACACAATGATATTACTTGATTATTTTTATGCTTTTATGTCTTCTCCTTGACTAGACAGTGAGCTCTTTGAGGGTAGAGGGATAGTGCCCTGCTGACCTCTCCTTCCCCCGCAGATCTGGCACAGTGCTTGAGACTTAGTACCTATTCCGTGACTGTTCGCGAGGTTGGACAGACGGTTACATGCAAGCCCCAACGTTGTCACAGCGGGATGCCCCCTCTGCCACCTCCACGTGAGGTGCCCATATCCTCTGAACAGCATCACATGGCGTCTGTGTCAACGAAGAAATCAAACGGATTGACTTGGCCGAGTTTGGGTGAACTGTCATCCGTGAGCACAGCCGTGTGGTTGGGGCTACTGCAGGGCCAGGGCCTCTGGCAGGAAACTCTCATCAGAGAACTCAAGCATGAATTAGCTGAATTTTAACAAGTGCTTTCTGGCCTTTGAGATGTCTTAGTATCTGAGGGGGCAGCCTGGGGTGGGGGACAGACGCATGACCCATGATTTCATTAGTGAAGAAATGCAGAGCCCAGAAGGGAACACGTCTGTACCAGAGTCCCTGAGCCACTTCAGCAATTTCTTCAGTTTAGTTTTGATCTTGGGCCCTTGGCTTTTATTACAGAGATAAGAGTATCGTGTGAAGAACGTCTCTATATCATAAAAACCCACACTTGAAAAGAGGACTCCATTTGTTATTGTGAATCTGATGTAAAGATAAAATCCATGTGGACAGTTTCTCCAGGAATTTTATTCAAAGGACACATTGCATTCTTCTAGCCCTTCATAACTCCCCTTTTGGCCACAGCTCAGGAACATCAGCATCTCCTGAGAGCTTGCCGGAAATGCGGACCTCAGGCCCACCCCAGGCCTGCTGAATCAGAGTCTGCATTTTAACAAGATCCTCAGGGGACTCCTGTGAATGTGATATTCTCAGCAGCTCTGAGCTCGCAGAAGCTGAGAACTGTGTAGCCCATCTCTTCACCTCTGCTCCCAGGTGACTGGGTGAAATCTGTGCTCTTCTAGAGTAATTCAGTCAGTCCCGGGTACTTGAGTAAGGTGGTTTTCTTCTTTGTTCATTCAGCGTCTTACCTGAGCACTCGCATGCCCGGCCGAGTGTTACGTGCACTAGGAGAGGAAGAGAAAGAGGACGAAGGTCTCTTCCAATCTCAAGAAGCTCCTAGACTCCAGAGAGAAACACAACACCAAATGGCCCCTGTTCTGTCCCACCCCCGTAGAGACACCACCTCACTGGTAGCTCAGAGCTGGGAAACCCTCCATGGAGCACTGCTTCGCTTGCTTTAACAGGCTTAGGGTGGACGTCCTTGTCCTTTTGTAGGGTTTAGGGAAGAGCCGTATACAAGCGTCACACGAGAGTCTTTCGTGGGCAGTTTTAATTTTTTTAATATCGCTTCTCTTCTCACAAATGAATTCTGGCATGGCTTTTGTTTCTGATACCTGTCGTTGGCATTTACAGTTTTGAAGCTTCTGGTTCCTGAGGGTGAATACCCTTTGGTCTGCCTGTCAGCCAGTCTGTCCCTGTCCCCTCTCTCCCCAGGGAGCCGAAGGTGGTCCGTCCCTCCCAGGCTGCTCTGGCTTCCAGACAACAGTGGCAGTCTCCTCTGTGTCCCCCCCTCCTCTGACAAGTGCCCCCTTCCTGCCTCAGGGACAGACCTCTACTGTTCCCTCCCTCCCCAGTTATTGGCCTCATCAGCCCACACTGTCTTCTTGCTTTGGCTCATCCTACCCCTTTCTTCACTCCTTTCCCTGGAACCCAGGTCCTCCCCGCCCCCACCCCCTGCAGCTCCCCTCATCCCTCCTCATCCACTGGGCTCTCCCTCAGTAGCACCTCACATCCTGCCCCAAGGAGGGAGAAAGCCCGCTTGGTTTGGCATCTTCGCTCGTGGCTTCCGTGTGCTGTATCCAGCTGCCACCTTCTCATTACTTCTCGTTTGATGTCCTCCTCACCATCTGTCTGTCCATCCTCCACGCTGAGCAGAACGTTACAGCAGCCTACAGGGAACGTCTGTACATAGTTGATCAGCCAAAAAAATTGTCATATGTTTAATAAATTGCTCTCTAAAAGTAACCTCCATCCCTACTTAGAAAATAGGATTGGGCACATAATGACTTTGAATATATTATTTTTAGCACTGTGGGCTGTGTTAGGTAGACGGTTACATTTTATACTGAAAAAGAAAAATACTTTAAAACTTTATATGATGCAAGCCACACATTCAAAATGTAGAAATTAAATATAATGAATATAAAATTAGAATTTTACTGAAATTAGTCTGTTCTCTTCTGCTCTGTCACCTGGCTCTTCTGGTTTTTTGTTTATATGCCCTTCACCCTTTCTGTCACTGTCACCCTCTAGAGCCTTCCAAACATTTGAAGAGTGTATGCTATTTGCAACTTCATATTAAGGGTTCAGCTCCACCCCTAGAACTGGAAATAGTGTTTCCTAAACCGGGTTTGGCTCGATTTTTGTCTAGCAGCTGCCAAGCAGCTGCGCTTCTTGCCACTAGGGGGTGCTCTTGTAAATGTTAAACTGGCTGAGTTACCCTACTTGGGGGGAACTTTTTTTTTTTTTAAGTTTCAATTAAAGTCTCTTTCATTTCAGTCTGAAAATCTACCACTGGTATACAGCTTCACTTCCAAATATCCTGTGTCTGAGATGCCTTGCCATCCATAGCACCCTTCCCTCACCCAGCAACTCGAAAGCCATAAGGCCAAACTCTTCGCTTGCATATAGCTGTTATTTCTGTCACTGAATTTTTATATTCACATAAGTTGAGATGGTGAAGTATTGTGTGACTATGACACAGATTTTAAATTTAAAGTAAGATCATTTGAACTTGCTAGGGAACAGAGGAGCCCTGATTTAATGAAAAATCCACAGACAAGGGTTTAAGAGAAAATTTTAGTGAGAGACAGCAGGAACTGTCTTTTGTGTACTATGTGTCACTGAATGCCTTGTCTCCTCACCTCTCTCATGACTTAAATCTGTATGAGGTTAGAATGTGGCAGAGTCTGTAGAAGGTAAGGAAAACCCTACGTTCTGTAGGCATTTTAAGGCATCACTCGCTAGGCATGTGGCTCTGCAGGGGGATGGTGTGGGTGTGCGTGATGCAGAGAAGTCAAGTGTCCTACACGGTGACGGCTGAGATGGTTTCTCCCTGTGGCCCTGTGAGCTTAGAGAGGTGAGGGTGGGGAGGAAGGAGTCTTAAGAGCAGACGTGGCATGGCCTGGAGAAGAAAGAGATGCTCGGGCACCCAGGTCCACCTGCTTCTGTATGTTAAGTGAGGGGAAAGCTGTGTGTCCGTGGGCAAGTCAGTCAGCTGTCTAGACCAGTTTCTTCATCCGTGAAATGGGAGTTGGACCAGAGGACTGCAGAGGTCTGTTTGATTCTAGCAGTCTATAATTCTCTAAGACATCACTTCCAGGAGATCTTCCTGTGATGATAGAAATGTTCTGTAACTGTGTTGTCCAAAACAGGAGCCACCAGCCACATGTGGCTCTTGAGCATTTTTGAGATGTGACTGATACAACCAAGGAACTTCCAGATCTTCATTGAAATTTGAATAGCTGCAGGTGACTAGTGGCTACCATATTGGGCCGTGTAGCTCTAAGATGAGGGAGGACGTTGATTGGAGAAAAAAAAAAGGAAAATATCATTGGAGACAATTAATGGAGGTCACAGGCAAATAATGCAAACTAGGATTAATATAAATGGTCTTGAATGTGCAGTGTTAGTCCCATTTTTGGGGGGTAGCCAAGAGTCCTACTGAAGCAGAGCTAACAGCAGGAATGAGATGGAAGGAGAAAGCTTTCAGAAGGAATGGAGACATGCATCTGAGTTAGCTCCGGTAATTAAACCACCAGGGTAGCCAGGCGTGTTTCCCTGTCACCTTCTAACGCAGCTGGGAAGGGAGCTGAGTTTTCAGCAGCTCCTGGATCCTCCCTCCCCTCCTGCCCCTTATCCCCAAAACTAAAGGTGATGATATTTAGGCCAGATGAGGGCAAGGGCAGCCAGTGGACCCCAGGTGGGCCAGAGCCCTGGGGTTGACCTTTGGAGCGCTTCTGAGCGTGCAGGAACTCATGACAGCCCTGGGATGCCAGGCCCCCACAGCCAGTAATGCTTGCTCTGCTACAATGTTAATCCAGTTATTAAGATATCTCCTCCTTCCCCATGATGAAGGAGTCTATCCGAGAACAATCCAGCACAAAGCTGCCTGACCCAGAAGTCATCCAGTTCTGTATCTCCATCTTCAAACGCTCCAGGCTCCTGCTCAACAGATGGCGTCGATCAGCAGTTCATAGAGGCCTTCCACAGGGTGACCAAAGGGGGCTCCACCGAGGACTCCAGCCAGTACTACTGTGACAAGGTGGGTGAGCTTGGGTCCTGTGACCCAACCAGGATTCCCTGTGCCGTAAGGCACCTCTCGGGCAGTTTAAGTAGTTAGAACTAAAAGAAGATATCTCCTCACCACCAGCTGGAGAGAGAAGTAACATTGTTGATCATTTTTGCAACGTTTTCCAGAATGATAATGGTGATGGCTACTTAGTTTTGATCCGCATCACGCCAGACGAAGATGGAAAATTTGGATTTAATCTTAAGGTATGTTGTGTGTCTTTATAAGGAAGTTGTATGCTCTGGAGCAGTCTTTAGGTGGCTTTTAAACTTCCCCCAGGGGTGTGCTGCGTGCCTCAGTCTAATCTAAGGAAACTGGGGAGTTTTCTAATATGGCCCCAGAGCTGCCTGACACCAAGGACCTACTGTGTTCTTGGTGTTTGCTGTGCACTTCTTTATATCACCTTATAGCGTTCTTATAATCGGGGAAATTGGTATTTTTGAACCCATCTTATAAATGCGTATACCGAAGCTCGGAGATGACACACAGTCAGCAAGCAGACCTGCCTCCAGAAGATGGGTTTTTCAGGGAGCCTGTCGGCATCACTAAAGCCAGTGAGAGAGAATAACAGTTCAAGTTGGAGGAACATTTACAGAGCCTTTCCCCATCTCTGCCTGCTTTTAGGCCGGGTCTGCAAACTGTGGCCCACGAGCCACATCCCATCTGTTTTTGCAAATAAAGTATCATTGGAACACGGACATACCCATTCATTTACGAACGGTTTACAGCTACTTTGGCACTCGGGCAGAGCTGAACACTTGTGACAGAGGCCTCTCTCCCAGACCTAAAATATGTCCCCTCTGGCCCTTGGCAAAGCTGACTAACCCCTGCTCTAGAGCAGAATGAGGGCAGGTGGTCCCTGCTGCCCAAGCCCCAGCTGCCACCAGGCACTCCCCTTCCTGTACCCCAGCACCCTGCTGAGGCCCTGCCCTCACAGCCTGTGACTGTCTCTACAGCTTTTCTCTGCTACACGGAAAGCTCCCTTTCCAACAGCACTTCAAGGCTGTGCGTGCAGAGCCCTCTGGGGACGTTTACATTTTGTAAAAGGAAGCACACCTGAGCACACCTTTAGTTCGTGATGGCAGCGAGAGGCTTCTGAGCAGGCTTCTGGTTACCCCACTAGACCCCAAGGGGTCAGGAACCTTGTGTGCTGAAAGAGTGCCAAGCCCTGGGATTAGAATAGGTTAAAGTGAAGTATGAGCCCCTCTTGTGTCTGCAAGTCTTTGTTGCTATGAGCTATTCAAGTGTTGTTGTTGTTGTTGTTTTTAATTTAACACGTTTATAGGGAGGAGTGGATCAAAAGATGCCTCTTGTGGTATCAAGGATAAACCCAGAGTCACCTGTAAGTTAACACATTTCATTATTTCCTACATGTTTTTTTCCGTTGAATCTAACATTTCTGTTTCTGTGTCCTGCTTCTTTGCCAGCAACAAAGAGTGTGTGTAAATGCATGCATAGAGATGGAAAGAAAGAATGGAATCCATGTTTTTTTTCCCAGAACTTTGCTGGTCAGTGTAGCACCAGCATTACCTGGGAGCTCATTAGAAATGCAGGATCTGGGGCGCCTGGGTGGCTCAGTCGGCTAAGCGTCCGACTTCAGCTCGGGTCACGATCTCACGGTCCGTGAGTTCGAGCCCCGCGTCGGGCTCTGGGCTGACGGCTCAGAGCCTGGAGCCTGCTTCCGATTCTGTGTCTCCTTCTCTCTCTCTGCCTCTCCCCCGTTCATGCTCTGTCTCTCTCTGTCTCAAAAATAAATAAACGTAAAAAAAAAAAAAAAGAAATGCAGGATCTCAGGCCCTACCCCAGACCTCCTAAACCAGAATCTGCATTTTTACCGAGGTCTCTGGGTGATCGGTGTGCTCGTTAAAATGTAGCAGTACTCTCAAGAAAAGGAAACTGAGGCACAGAGTTTGCTGTCCTGCTCACTCTGGGCACATGGACCCACCATCCCACCACCACCACTCTGCCCTCTGCCTTCTGTCTCGGCTTCCTCGGGAGAGCATTTGCTTTTTTTCTAGAACAGGGTGCACCAAAGAGTCGCTGTGTCTCCTAAGAAAGTACCGGTTTGGAAGTTTTACTCTTAAGTGGTCCTTAAGCCTGTAGTTTACTTTTTCTTACTGTTATGGCCTCTTTGAATTTAGAGGGTCTCCATTCCTACACTAGCCAGTGTGCTGCTTCTCTGCGTGCTAGCTTCTGCCTTTGGTGTTACATTGTTTCTCCGATGCAAGATAGACCAATACTTTCAACTGACAGATCATTTTCTAACAGCACATCAAGAAAACAAAAGATCAGGAGCCTCACAGTACGTTACAGTACTTAAGTGAAGGTTGGCTACCAGAGAGAAGGGGCTTCAGTAATTGCCGTAGCCTTATTCTGAAAATGCTGCAATAGCTTACGTTGTGACCAGCATCTTTTTCGAATCCCACAACCAGCGACCATGTCAGCCTAGTAGTGGATATAAACATAGTGGCAGTCGTCCCCGAGGGAGAAAAGAACTTGAACGTGGTCTTAAGTGTTTGGGCTCCGAGAGCATCTGCGTTCTACCCTTGAGGATTGTGTTATGATAACTGAAGAAACTCGCTTTTCCTCTCCACCCAGGCGGACACCTGCATTCCTAAGCTGAACGAAGGGGATCAAATTGTGTTAATCAATGGCCGGGACATCTCAGAACACACCCATGACCAAGTGGTGATGTTCATCAAAGCCAGCCGGGAGTCCCACACGCGGGAGCTGGCCCTGGTGATCAGGAGGAAAGGTAACTGCCACCACAGGAGAGGAACCGCGGGGCCTTCGCAAAGCAGGGCCCTCTCCGACCCATTTTGTGGTTTTGAAAATGTTGAGCCTAGGGCGCCTGGGTGGCTCAGTCAGTTAAGCGTCCGACTTTGGCTCAGGTCATGATCTCGCGGTTCGTGAGTTCAAGCCCCGTGTCGGGCTCTGTGCTGACAGCTCAGATCCTGGAGCCTGTTTCAGATTCTGTGTCTCCCTCTGTCTCTCTGACCCTCCCCTGTTCATGCTCTGTCTCTCTCTGTCTCAAAAATAAACGTTAAAAAAAATTTTTTTTTAAAAACAAGAAAATGTTGAGCCTTGTAGCCAACATGGGAAAATCAAGAACCAGGAGATGGGACTTCTCACTTGAGAAATGTGAGGCTCTGCCCACGGGGGGCCCAGCCCCTCCTGGCCAGTCCTCTGGAAGTAGGTGGGACCTACCCACCCCCTCGGTACAGGACCTGAGCCCTGATTTCTTCCAGGCTGGCTCCCCCACATCCTGCACCTCTCTTTGCTG